GTCCATCCATCCATCTGTCCATCCATCCATCCATCCATCCATCCATCCATCCATCCATCCATCCATCCATCCATCCATCCATCTGTCCATCCACTTATCGTCCATCTGTGTTCCAGAGTCAGGTCTCGGGGGCAGCAGATTGATCAGGGGGGTCCTGACCTCTCGTTCCACAGCCACCTCTTCCAGCTCTTCTGGGAGGACTCCAGTTTGTTCCCAGACCATCTGAAAAATATAGTCTGTCCTGGGTGTCCTGGGTCTTCCTTGGGGTCTCCTTCCAGTTGGACATGTACAGAACACCTCACCAGGTAGCCGTCCAGTGGTCGTCAATGAAGTTCTCCAGATGAGTTTTAGAACCTTTTCATCARTAGTGAGCATGAAGGACAAAATTAAAATTACCTCTTGAATATTTTTAATCATGACCCCCACACCGGCTGCGACAGACCACTAACCCACCTCACAGATTGTCTGGAAATCACTGCTACTGAAAAAAATATGTATTTCAGCGAACTTCCTCCCCTGCTTAGACATGTGGGTTGTCATGAAGCTCCTCGTCTCATCTCTAAAGGCTGAGCCTGGTGAAGGCAGCTTCTGCAGTCTGGTTCTGGTTCTTTGGTTTAATCAGTACCCCACAAYCAAATCTGAGAGCCGGACCAAAGGCAGACAGGTAAAACAAGAGCTTCACATTTAGGCTCGGTTTTTCCTTCACCTCAACAGACCAGAGCAACGTCCTCGTTACTCAGGCCTGTCTTTCAGTCCATTGTACCATTGTTTACCAATGAGATTCCCAGGTTCTTAAAGCGGACACCGCTATCTCTGTGCCTTGAGATCCAGTGGAGTCCAGCTCACAGGAACAAGCTTTGTTTCGCTCTCCAAAACACTTATCAAAGTCCACAAAACACGTAGAGCAAACAATGGGACTCCCACAGTCCCCTCAGCAACTGGTCCTTGGTTTTAAATAAGAGTCTAGAAACATATCCAAGGTTGGTAAAAACACAAAGAGGAAGTTTATGGACTAGAAACCTTATAATACAGATTTATAAACACAGTAAAAATACATTGTTAAGTCATTTTTACTGCCTGTCTGTTTTTGTCAGTTACAACATATCTCATGAACCATTTTAATACTGCTTTAATTAATGTCTCCAATTTGGTCAGGTGGTATGGCAGGCTGTTGTATCATAGAATAAAATTTAGAATATGCTGTTGTATCATATAATTAACACAATATGGTACACAGTTGTGTCATATATTTAAAAAAGTATGGCAGGCCTTTCAATCATATTATAAAATATGGCTAGTTGTATCATATAATAAAAAATGTTACAATTTTTTTCTTTTGTTTCTAAATTATTTTTCACTTTCAAATTAGTTTTTTTTGTTTCAAACTCTGTATAGCCCCAATTTAGCTCCATATTAACGGCTCTAACTTTGTCCCTTCCTTAACATGAGTTCATCTCGTACAGCTTTGATTTGCAAGGCMGTGGACGATGTGCATACCGTCAAGGTATGGCAGTCCTCGTTGTGCTGTTTGGGTCCCTCTAAGCACTGTGCTTTAATTCAGGCTGAACTGCAGGTCGCTCCAATCCAATCTCATCTCATRTTAACTGTGAGTAAAACGTCACAGRCCATCACCGGCGGAGCGTTRCCGTCACCGAACCGTGACACGACAGCCAGGAGAACTYGCAACATCAGCTCCCGTCTCAACGCATGAAGGCCTTCGTCCTGATGGCACAGATTCCATACCCGCGTGTAATTTACCCACGGTGACACGTCGGTGTAAACACACCTGTTCACCTCTGGCAAAATGTTTTTGACCCTTCATTTCCTCCTGCGCCACAGCCTCACTGGTCTAGAATTCCTTGAATGAATGCATCACCTGCTGCCTTTTGTGCCAGAATTCTACACTAAGATTCTATCATACTGAGAAGTGGCTCATTTAACGCTGTTTGGGTCAAACCTTAAAAAAACATTGTTAAACTGTTTAAATCATAATCTACATTAATATCTGCAMAACTGACTGAGTTGTAGCTATGTTTGATTAGCTGTGGTAGCCATATAGAATTGGATTGAGTCCAAAATGTAATCARCTATAGACATACAGTACGTCCAACGATTACTTTCTAAAAGTAAACTCAGGTCAACTCCTAAAATTAATGTTAAAAATCTAAGTAATGATGTCACGCAATAACTAGCCCTCGGAGTATGTGTTGTGAGTGACTCTCAGCTACTATYACACCAAATTGCAGCTCATTATTTGTTAAACAGAMTAAAGCACAGCCACATTTGTGTTTTGTGATTTCAACCAGATKTGGCGGCCATCTTGAATTGTGTTGACTCTAAAAGTGAATCAGTTGTAGACGTTCCTGCAGTGAATGTTTCCTGAAAGCTACATCAAAACRAGTCCTGTRGCTTATGAGATATTMTGCTAACAGAGAAACGAGATTGAYTTTAAATTGAAGCTTTGGCAGCTATCTCGGATTGGGGTTGACTCCAAAAGTTAATCAGCCCTACACACACGTCTGACGACCGCCCACCCCAAGTTTTGTTAAAACTGACCCAGTCGTTTGTGTGATGTTTTTGCTGACAGACGCAGCAAAAACAGGATTGCCCGCCGCCTGTATTTGGCGTGTGAATTACAGCCGAATCTACTGAACAGAAGTCACCCAAAGATATTTATCAAACCTTAAAATATGAAAATCAACAACTGTGACCTTAACTGACATAAACATATAGGAGTGCATGAAGAGGAAAGGCTGTGTGTGTGTGTGTGTGTGTGTGTGTGTGTGTGTGTGTGTGTGTGTGTG